GTTAATGAAAACGTCCAATTGGCAACCGTGCTAGTGATCCCTTAGGCGTCACTCGCACTTATTCACACAACTCAATCCTCCCGGACTTGTGTAGTCCCACGACCGGAGAGAAAAAGTGAAGGTGCGAAACCCTCGGTATTTCCCTGCGTCGTTCAAGACCATTGCAATTGCGAAGGGCCCGAAGCCCAACCCGCAATCGTGAGTTACCGACTTTACTAGCAGCACTGAAGGACCCTTGGGGACCAGCAGCATGTTTGCCATTGAAAGTCCTTTTACACGCGGTCGAGTCGCATTAGACCCAACTACATGTAAGCAAGTGTCCTTTGGGCCTAAAGATCATGTCATCGGGCTAGCTAGGCTCGACAAGCATGATTTGCAACTTTTGGGCCTAAGGAGTGTACGTCGACGTATTGAGTAATTCCACGAGAGTAAAGAGTTCCAAGAGTTTCATATGTGTATTGAGCGTTATAGTGTTAGTAGTTTTGGATTTGTTATTGATTCGAGACCGAATCAATTCGTTTGATAACGATTGTTGGTGATATTGTGTATTGTAATTTATCGAGAGTCGTAGTGTCAATCTTTGTTCACAACGAGTGTATTGAATTACCCTTGAAAATTTTCTGTTTACAACCCCTCTTAATTTTGTAAATTTACTTTTTCACCCCTTTAGGTAAAATAATTTCCGGTTTAGTCCTTAAACCATTTTTCTTGACATTTTAACACCAAAAATTATTGAAATTAATATTTTTCAGCATATTTTTCATTTAAAACAGTTTAAGTCCCTGAAATTGCAGTTTTCTCGGTTATAACCCCTCTTTTTCGCAATTTTTACATTTTTGGCCCAATTTGGAAATTTTTGCAACTTTGGTCCTTTTTAAATTTGAAAAGCGTTTTAAACCTTTGAAAAGTACATGTAACACTAATAGTCCACTGTTTTACAGGAAAACACAGTTTTGGCCCTCCAAAACAGAAATTTCGCATAATGGGCCCTATTGGGCCGAAATTGTCATTTTTAGCCCATTAAGCTTGAAATTTATGTTTTTGATCTTCCAAAAGAGTATATTTTCAGAAAATACATTATGGAATCTGTTTTGACTCATCTCACCCATCAGATTTCGAAATATTTCATTTTGGGCCCTTTAACTTTGTATTTTTAACATTTATGTCAAAAAAATGAGTTTTTAGCCCAAAGTATGTATTGTTAAGCCACTTAGCTATTTTTCTTGGTATACTTTGTATGTAGTAGTATATTTCATGCTAGTATAAGATATATCTCGGTTTTTAGCAATTCATAACTAGATCTAGCATCAAAATCATACAAAACATACATATAAGCATAGAAATCAACCAAAACATACACATAATGATGGATCTACACCTTTACTTGTATTCTCCCCCACAAAAACTTATAAAAACCGAAAATAAGGGGGTATGAAGCTCACCTTGAGTTGTAGTTTCGGTTTTGAAGAGAGAAAAGAAGAAAATTTCGATCCTAGCAAGTCTCCTTGGTAGATCTCGAGTTTAGTGACTTCTAAGGTGCATGATCACAAGTTGGAATAGATTTAGGAGAGATTTTTGATGAAATGAAGTAGCTAGATCATGGATTAGTCATCAACTTACCTTAGATGATGTGTTTGTGGGAAAAACCTCCTTGAAAAGCTCTTGATTCTCGAAATTTTTGAAGAAGGAGGAAGGAGATGTCCTTCAAGACTTAGAGAGAATGAAATGAATTTTTGTGAGTGTGTGTGTGTTGTGTTCGGCCGAGAGCAAGAAGAGAGAGGAGAGGAGTGTGGTTCTTGAATTGATTTGCATGAAAACATGAGATGGTGCATGGGAGTCCTATGGATAATTATGAGGTGGCATAGGAAAGTCAACTCTCTTTCTTTGGTTGGGCTTGGGCCGAGATTTGGAGAGAAAAAGATGAGTATTGGGCCTTGTATGCTTAAGCCCATTTCATGGTTATGTTAAGTGATGTTTGGCCCCAATTAATTATAAATGTGATTTTTATGAGCTATTAAGGCTAAATTAGGTTAATTATGGTCCAAAATAGTTTATAATATTTGATTTATTTCATTCTAGGCCCAATATGGCCCAATATGTTGAAATAAATGAAAGTGGGTCCAATTAGAGCCCATTTAAGAGTTCTAAACCCAAGATAGTCAAATTGGAAGTTTATTGGTCCATTAGGCCCAATAAGGAAGTTCTAGTCCAAAATGGACCTAAATAAGAACTTCTAGGGTTTCCAATTGCTTGTTGACTATTTGTAATGCTTGTATGGTGTATTTGATTGCAATTTTGTTGTCACAGAGTAAGCATCATACATGCCCTTATGTTTTTGGATTCATAATCCGACTTAAGTGTTGTAGTTACAAGGCACAAAATTCCTAGTTGTGACAAGTATGGATAACGACCACAGACTCCTTCTAGACAGTCTCGTAGAATGCTAGCAGGTTCATAACCTGTAGGTGTTGTGAACGATGTGTTCACCGGTGTACTCTATCCCCCTCATGGTTGCCTTTAGGATATCTATTGTTGAGGAAACCCCTTAGCAGTAATGTCCGTCCCGATGAAAATCCTAGATTAGGTCCCTTAAGATAGATGTTGTTTTAGGGACGTAAATTGAGGATAACGGGAATGGGTAATCGGGATAGTGATTGGTTGGTGAAATTAAATATAATTTATTTATTATGGGTTGAAAACCGTATATGCTCACCAGACTCCCAAGCCTGACCCACTCAGTTTTATTTGTATTACAGGAAGTGGCGTAAGGGCGTAAGATGGATGAACCATCAAGTTGTTTTGTTTACAAGTCTGTATATGTATATATTTTTTGAATGACTTGTAATATTATCGTTTATGCTTAATGGTCTGTATCGGAACATGACACCCCGAGTTTTGATTATATAATGAAAATACATTTCTTTTATGAAATGTTTTGGTAAACATTGTTTTATCATGTTTTGTTTTTGCGAACAAATTCCGCAACTCTTTCAAATCAAAAGGATTTACTCTGAAATTATTTTAAAAGCATAAATGAAAAGCGGTCTTTTCTGACCGAGATTTTGGGGATATCACACTTAGTGGGTATTCATTATAGTATTTGTCATTAGCCTTAATAAGAAAAAGAAATAGGCAAGTTGAGGACTAGAAAACAGTTAACAAAGATATGATAGAGAAGAAACACAACAAGAATGACATAAATGAAAGCAATTATTTGTTCCCTTAAGAAGTTAATTCACATAGGAGACAAAAAGGGAACTAAACATTTGGCTAGAGGGGAGTGTACCATTTCTATCATATATTTTTGCCTCAGACGTTAGCATCACCTCAATTTTATCCTATTTTCATGCTTTCTTGTCACATACAAAGAGTGGTCACCATGACATGTATTAATTAATTATTTAATTTTTTAAACAATTCAATTTAAATAAAAAACTTAAACTTCATTAATTCAAACTAAAAATGCATAACAAGAAAATAAAAAGCTAAAAACTAAAAAAAAAGCATAACATTAAATAAAAAAAACCTAAAAAACAACCCAATATACACTTAAAAAAATCTAAATGTTATATTTTTTATCCTAATTTTGATTTTAACTGTTAAAGCCAATTCATGCACTTCCCTACTCCCTAATGTAGTGACTTGGGTCCTACTCCCTAGTGTAGTGACTTTTCGTATGCTCTCTTTACGTAGCGAAATCTAAAAATTTATCTATTCTTGTATTCAGACCCTTAATCTCTGCCCCTATCGCTTTTCAACTTATTTGGAAATGTGGATTAACCTATGTCTTTGCATTTCGTTTCATCCCTTCTCGGTGGGGGAAGGCAATGTAATTTAAATGGTATCATCATCGTGGAGGTCAATTCCAACACAATCATTTAATGTAGTGTAATCGGATACAATGTTTTTGACCGTTTTGAACCACCACTGACCGACATGTTGTTTGGTGTTTTTACTCGTTTTCGATTTTTCATTATCTTTCACAAAATTCGAAAACTCAATAAATTTGAGAATGTTTCTTGTTTTCTTTTTGGTACACTTTTGGCGCTTTCTTGAAAATCACGCCATCACTTTTTGTGTTACGCTATTGATGTTTCATATTATGCAAATCGTTAAACAACATGACTTCCTTGTTTGTCTTTCCCTATTTCAAGTACACTTAATCTTTGGTACAATATTCTCCTTGCTTCATTTCTTTGTGGAAACAGTTAAGAACTCGTCTCTAAAAATAATCATGTTTCTTTGTCATTGCCCATTTTCACATCCTTGGATATATCGACCCATTAATGTGTTGATGCCATCACTTCTACTGGTTCCCAAGGTTTAGTTAGGGCCTTCCATTTTATTTTAGGTACTTCGTCATGTTGAGTGAATGTATTCGAGTTTGGAATTGCCATAACGGTAGATAAATGTTAAATCTAGGCGATCAAATGAAGGTATAGTTCTCGATCTTCTGAATACTGAATTTGCTCAAAATCCCGAGTACCAGACCCATTTAGAGGGAGTATGGTACCAGTACCGAGGGGTAAAATGGTCAAGTTGATTGTTATGGGGCAAATATCTTTAATAAATGGAAAAATTAGTAGAAAAGGTCAAATAAATGAAAATAGGAATGAAGCACATTGTGATAGCTTGTGTGGCTTGTTGGGAAAATGAAAACGTCTTTTTGTATGATTTTTTTATATTATTGCTCATTTTGTAGTTATGTTGCTTTATTAGAAAATATTTTGTTTTGCTTTTATAGTTTTGTATGTTTTTGTATTTGTAGTTTTGTATGCTTCTTTAGACAAAAGCAACATATCCTTAAAACTTTAGAAGACATGAGAATTGAGATATTAATATGCCAAGGTTTTGATTTTTTGGAAAAATTTGCTCATTTTCATAATTCATATCTATAACTCATAATAGAATTCCTTTTAAAACATTACTCACTCACTGTCATACGGATATAATGCATGCGTATCAAATGTGTGTACATTGAAACCTTAACAACATAGTATGGATATTATGGTATATAAGAATAGACAAATTTAATTTAATGGTGGGTATGCTTACAATCTAGGAACACAGTTAACAAGGTTGATCGCTTAATTGTTTCTTTAAGGCATTCAAAGCATGACATGTGTTACACATGAATTTTATATTTTAATTATTCATACAACATGAGACGTATTTTTACTTTTGGACTATGTATAATGTGGAAAAAAGATGCCAACTACCAAAAACAATCGAAGTGAAGTACAAATTCTCACAAATATATTTCATCTTTTTTAGGTTGCTTATTCCATGGTTCTCATCAACATTATTTGGGGTCCTCTGACTGAAACAATACCATACCAAAACATTATGAATATCTTTTTCAAAATCAAGCAAATCAAATACAACGAAAGCATACAAATCCCAACATGTTGTTTGCAAATAAATAAATAATACGAGTAATGAGAGTATGAGACATCTTTATTATAGTGAAAACCCACAATCTACCCTACACCCTACCCCCTCAACACACATATCATCACCATTTACCACCCACAAATTATGAAAAAACGACTTATAACTACAGCTTCAACTCTCCTCAAAATGAAAGATCAAAAAAACACATAAGTTATAGCTGTAGAACACACGATTATGCCACTGAACGAATACCTTCTAATCTGCTCTGGATTGACCAGCACGAGAAGAAAGAATGATGCCAACAATGAGACCATACAGGGCAAGAGCTTCAGCAAAAATGAGGATGAGAATCATCCCAACAAATAGTTTTGGTTGTTGTGCATTGGCTCTGAAAAAACAAATTAAAGTTAGCAAGAGTTCAAGAAACTATAGATGAATGAAGGGTTGTAGTCTTGTTGCAGTTGCAAACTTGCAATGTATGAAAACGGTAAAGATTTTAAGGTTACGAGACATTGAATTAATCCTAATGGATTCATGATAAAGCATTCATGTTATCTTACAGATTACCATGTGCATACTGATTTGAAATGTGGAGAATATAGGTTTGAAGTGATTACAATAAAACAGTAACAGAGATGTAGAGAATGAGAGAGTTAAGGAAAATTACCTAACACCAGCATCACCGACGATTCCGATAGCCATACCAGCAGAAAGACCAGCAAGGCCACAAGCAAGACCGGAGGAAAGATGAGCATACCCGTCGAAAAGGTAATAGGATTTAGCCTTAGGGTTAATTCCAGTACTGATAATCACAGCGATAATCAAACCGTAAATACCCAACACTCCAGCCATAACAACTGGCACAATAGACTTCATCACGAGCTCTGGCCTCATCACTCCCATAGACGCCACTCCAACACCGCTCTTCGCCGTCCCGTACGCCGCCCCCATACCTACATAACAAAGTCAAATGATATAAAAAAGGAGCACTTGAATCGTGGATCGATGTTTTTGATTTCGAATGTCAACGTTATAGCTTAGAACGCCAAAGATCGATGTTAATAGATCGGCGTTAAACAGGATCATCACGTGTGTAGATTGATATCGGTTAATTAGATCGAATTTGGAATTCAGTGGATCTAGAAAAGCGATAAAACTTACAGGAGAAGACTAACGCGGCAGCGGCACCGAGAAAGCCGAAGAACGGAGCCGTTTCATCGCCGGAGAATGTTGAAGACATGATCGGTTGATTACGATCAAGTTTAGGGTTTATATTTTGCAGAGAAATTGATCGGATCTGAGGATCGAGAGAGGGAGAGAAAGAGCGAAAGGGGAGATGACGTTATATATGTTAGTTGAATTGTATGGCCCTGTTTAATCGTGGACGGGTTATACATAGGAGTGTGATTCATGTTCGAGTGTATCGGAAAATTTAAATAATTTAATTACTATAAAAGAAAAGGACAAATTTCCAAAATATACTAAAATCACTTGTCCAAAATTCACAATAAGTCTAAAAACTCATATTTTTATTGAAAATAATAATAATAAAATTAATAAATAAATAAATACTCTTTTTGGTTTATTTCACATTTGTATTTGAACCGAAACTTTATAATATGCTTCCACAAAACATATTTATTTATTTCATAAATATTCAACTCATTTATAGAGTATTTCGATACATCTTAAAAGGTCATATTTGCATAGAAATCAAAGTTTGAGTTATTTACTTCATTCATATTAAGCCAAAATCTTATGTTATTATTTCATTATATATAAAACTCATTTTTATACAAAAGTACTTTTACATAACTCACAGAAACCATTGAAATCATACACACATACGAAACCAAAATATGATGCTTTAAGCTTCACTATTTTAACCCAACTCAACACCATTTAATTTTTATACAAGAAATATTTTATAAACCGACTTGAAGTCATAAAATCAAGTAATCATACGTTGTATGTACATTTTTCTCAATCTAGGGTTGAACAACATTTTTCGTGTATTATAGTGTTATATTTAGTCTTTTTGTGACATGTGCATGCATGGATCGTTTTATGGAATACTAATAACATATATTATACATTTGAAAGTCCATAGGATATACTTTGTATGAATTTATATACACATAAAAACTTAAAAACTTGAGCTACATGATACTTTTTTCTCTTTCCTCTTTTGCCACAGAAGTTTTCATCCTCATTTTAAGGGCACAATGACAAATCCATTTTCTCCTTCTTTTGCGTTTTATCTGCTTTCATTACCGACTTCACCTTCCAATCATATAAACACCGTGTCTTTCACCACACCCCGCTTAATACAGTTATTTCTCAAATTATTTCTCAAAATATGTTGGTATTTTTCGAGAACTAGTTCCAACATCGAAGACCCATCAAAAACCGGTAATTCAATACATATGTGGATTATTAGCATAAAATCTACTTCTATCTTGTGATTAGACAGAATCAGATTTGCAATTGGATTAAACCCTTCTGATTTCACCAAGATTTCTTGATTTTTATAAAAAAATAAAAATGAAGGCATCAGTGGAGTACAATTTATAGGTTTTGAAGCAATATATTGAAGAATTGTATTCGGGCTCTGGTAAACGTGTGATGTTACTTGGTCATAGCAAGGCTCGTGTGGATGTTGCAGCTGCATTATCACATTATTGGTGTGATCTTAAAGATAAAGTTGCAGGATTGGCGCTTGTGCAGAGTCTTTATGGTGGAACCCCAATTGCATCTGATATCATGCGTGAAAGCGAAATGTTGATAAAGAAACTAGAAGAATCATGGAACTCATAGTCTGCAGGATCATCAAGGTAAATCTTTTTTTTCTTTTACTATATAAGAGTAAATGACCATTTTACCCACCGTTTTTTTCATGGGGGGACATAAAATCATATGCTAGGTGTTCTATTTATTTTCTCTTTTCCCAATTTTCTCATTCATCAGTTTTTTAACTTTCTTTTTTATTTACATATTCTTGGATCTACTGTATAGTTTTCTTGATGGTGCTATCGATGGTGCAAAATATGAAGATGAATGTCGAACAGTTCTTGGCACATGGTCGTTTCCCGTCTTCACATTAGACAAATTGATAGACAAGCTTCCAAAATCCGTAACATACTTTTTTTTTACAAAATAAATTTGTATTTTCAAATCTACCCTTGGACCTATAAATTGACAATGCCTTTGATAGCTGCTGGCTATTGCAACAGATGAGGTTAATAAGAAGCTTCTTCATCTTTATGCGTATGAAAATTTGAGAAAAGACAAGGTTTTCATATAGTCAATGGGCTTGAGTTCAGGATAGCCGCCTTTACATATAAGGTTAAGAAATTACATATTTACCCTTTTATCATCATTATAAATGGGTTGATACTAATACTATGAAAAATTACCGATATCCAAACATGTTAAAACAATTCAAGTAAAGTATTTTACTATGTGAAATGTCTCAACTTTAATGGGACATACATGGGTATTTTTGACATTTGGGCATGGTGTTTGTGACTGGTGTACTATGTCATGGGTACATTAATCATAAGAAATTATAATGTATTTTGTTTGTATGATTTCTTTCAGGAAAATCGAACACTTTTGTTCTTGGACTAGGTACTTGAGAAGATTTGTAACTCTACTTGCATATATGATCAAGTATTGTGATACTGCCCATACTGGTGGATCAAGGTAATTTCTTAATATTTTTTTATTAAATTTACATATTAAAAAAATATTTTTTTCATGAATTTTAATGTTCCTCAAAAGGCAACTCATATTTATGTTTGTTTATGTTTACACTTATGACTATTAAAATTAAAGTAATCATTTAAAAAAATGTTATGAAATTTGTTCCCAAAACAAAATGTGATAAGAATTTATCAAAACATTTCCTTAAAGAAATGTATTTTTCATTAAATAACAAAATCTCGGGATGTCATGTTCCGATACAGACCAAAAACATAAACAATATAAAATAGACCTTACAATAGTTATTTATAACTACTAATCTATAATCCAAAATCTCTCGTCAAGTCCATCAACTTTTACTCTTGTTCCATTACCTGTAATGGAAAGAAAACTGAGTGAGTCAGGCTTGGGAGCCTGGTGAGCATATAGGGGTTTCAACTCACATTAATATAATTATTATATTCAATCATCAAACAATCAACCCAATTACCCATCCCCATTATCTTCTTCATTAATAAGGTTTTACCTTAAGAATCGACTATCCTTCTTTCATTCGTTCCTGAGGATTAACCTAAGGAATTGGCACAAAGTCCATTGCTGCCCGAGGTTCCTATAACGAACACTAAATCCATAGCTGCCAAGGTTCATCTATACAATACTAAATCCATAGCTACCAACATTCATCTACACTGTACTAAATCCATAGCTACCAACATTCATCTATATTGTACTAAATCCATAGCTACCAACATTCATCTACACTGTACTAAATCAATAGCTACCATCGTTTTATTATGAGGCACTAAATTTATAGCTGACAAGGTTTTTAGAGTACACCGGTGAACATCAAGTCCACAGCACCTACAAGTTGCGAGCTTGCTAGTGTTCCACTGGATTGTCTAGAATCGTCCGTGGTTGTCATCCCTACTCTGCTGAATGACGGGTCCATCGTTTGGGTAAAGGTTTCACTCAATTTTTGTGACATCCCCAAAATCTCGGCCAGAAAAGACCGATTTTCATTTATGCTTTTAAAATAAATTCAGAGTAAATCCTTTTGATTTGAAAGAGTTGCGGAATTTGTTCCCCAAAACAAAACATGATAAAACAATGTTTACCAAAGCATTTCATAAAAGAAATGTATTTTCACTATATAATCAAAACTCGGGGTGTCATGTTCCGATACAGACCAATAAGCATAAATGATAACATTACAAGTCATACAACAAATATATACATATACAGACTTGTAAACAAAACAACTTGATGGTTCATCCATCTTATGCCCTTGCGCCACTTCCTGTAATACAAATAAAACTGAGTGGGTCAGGCTTGGGAGCCTGGTGAGCATATAGGGTTTTCAACCCACAATAAATAATTAAATTAATTATTATCAACCAACAATAACCTAGTTACCCATTCCCGTTATTCTCACTTTATGTCCCTAAAATAACTAACACACGGGACCTAATCTAAGAATAATTTTCATCGGGGTGACAACACATGCTGCGGGGGTTCCTCAACAATATAAGTCAAATAAGGCAACCATGAGGGGGATGGAATACAGCGAATGAACACCCAAGTTCATTAACACCTACAGGTTATGAGCCTGCTAGCGTTCCACTGGACTGTCTAGAAAAGTCCGTGGTCGTCATCTAAATTCCGCTAGATGACTGGATCAAAATAACAACGAGGCTTCTCATCTGTTTATTACACACCAACTATCTACCCATGTTCTACCCAACATATTAGTAGATAAAAACATACATTTTTATACATATTTTCAAAACATGTATAGCATGCTTGATCAATACATTTTCCATATAACAGATGAGGCACACACACATAACACGTATTTCATATAGAAATAATCAGATCTGTAAGATAGAAGAAAGTGAATATACATTCACACACATAACAACAAAATATACACATAACACATATCTCATATACAATACTTCATAATTATACGTTAGAAGAAAGTAACAACACACTCACACATATAAACAACAATATACTTAATACACTCAAACCATACTTGTATTATTATTGCGTTTATGAAAGGTAGTATACACTCACTTGATCAAAAGATGATCGGACAGCACTACGACTTGCAAAAGTAGTAATCCTTAGCAGATCTGGAAGATCTCTACAAAAATCGAACTTCTCGCGGGCAGAGCTTCGGCTCGGAAACCACACTTCTCGGGATCTCGGGACTTGCTTCGGGACTCGGGAATATTACCGGGGCTTCGAAGTATTCTTGGCACGCAAATAGAGGCAAAACGGGAGAGAGAATGGAGAAAAATAGCAAAGAAGCTGGCTGCCCTCGCATCCTATTTATAGGAGGTTGGAACCTCGGAGTACGCGGGGCGTACTGGTCCGAAATCGTCACTGCGTTCGTCATCCGAAGTCCTCGAGTGCGAGTGTCGACATCTTCGCTGTACACGGGGCGTACTCGAGTACGCGGGGCGTACTCCGGATGAGTCCGGTGACTCGCCTTCGGATAAGGCCGGATTTAATAATTAAATTTAATTATTAATTCTTTAATAAACTTCAGAAATTCATATCTTCTTCATACGAACTCCGTTTTCGACGTTCTTTATATCCACGCGAAGGTGAGACTACGCTCTACAACTTTCATTTAGACTCCGTCGGCTAATTTTTACTTTATTTTTATTATTTATTTTTAATAGGCCGGGACAGAAAATTTCGTTATAAATTCATAACTTCTTCGTTTGACGTCCGTTCTTGCCTAACTTTTCATCGCTTTGATACTAACAACGAGATCTTGGATTCTCGTTTAGATCACTAAGGCTAAATATTGCTTTAACGTAAATTTCACTTTTTACGTTATTCAGCGGTGCTGGTTCTGACGCGAAACTTTGACAGGTCATAACTTCTTCGTTATAACTCGGATTTCGGCATTCTTTATATCTTCGGAAATGTTGTTTCAACTACTACAACATTATCTAAAGATATCAAGTTTATTTTACATTTAAATTTTGACGCTTATTTTTATTCTTAATTAATCAAACCACATAATTAAGCAATTAAGCACAAAACACATAATACTCAAATAATACACTTCTATTATTTCAAAACGGGTTATAAAGGTTAACCTAGACTATTACATTGCTAAAAATGACAAGCCCAGAAACACAGGCGTTACATTTTTCACCTGTCACCCTCATCTCATGATCTATATCATCTTTCGTTTCATCCTCAAACTAATCTTTCATCACGCACCAACTATTTCATCTACCCATGTTCTACCCAACATATTTGTAGATATAAATTACATAATAGTTTAAATCATATACATACCTATATAAAACATTCATCCAACATCCATCTCAAATAAACAAACAATATATAAACACATAACACGTATTTCATAGCAAATACTTCATATCTATGTGTTAGAAGAAAGTATCTACACACTCACTCATAACATAGATGTAACACATTCAATCAATACTTGTATTAAAATCATGTTTATGAAATGGACAATACACTCACTTGATAAGACAATCATCGGGTGGCACTACGGTTCTCCAAGTAGTAACTCTTCGGTGAAACCGAGATATCTTCACACACCGGACTTCTCGCGGGCAGAGTTTTGGCTAGAAAACTCTTTTCTTCTTGGGATCTTCAGAGCGTCGGGACTCATTTCGGGTCTCGGGATGATATCGGGGCTTCAGGGGTACTTCTTTGCACGTAAATCGAGGTAATATGGGTGAGAGAAGGGTGAATTAGCAACCTTGGTCGGCTGCTCCTTCAAATCTATTTATAAGGCTGATTTCTCGATTTTCACATCGTGGGCTTGATCGTCACTGCATGCGTCATCGCAATTTGCGTCTGTCAGGATCCAGAAGTCATAAATACTGAGTTCACGTCATGAACTCTGACACAGTGTTGGGGTTTGCGCTCCGAATTTCAGAAATTCATAACTTTTGCATACAAGCTCTGTTTTCAACGTTTTTTTTCCACGCGTAGGTAAAAACAAGATCTACAACTTTTGTTTAGACTTCGTCGGCTAAATTTGACTTTAATTTTTATTATATTATTTTTAGTAGGCCGGGACAGGAAAACTCCGTTATAAACTTATAACTTCTTCACCCGACGTCCGTTTTCGTCTGTCTTTTTATCGTTGAACTATTATCGACGAGATCTTCAATTCTCATTTAGATTGTTTCAGCTAGAAATCTGTTGATCTCATATTCGAACTTCGGGCTGCATACTGCTAAGCTGAAACTTAGAAAAATCATAACTTCCTCATACGAAGTTAGATTTGGACGTTCTTTTTAGGTACACTCTCGGTTTAACGTATTCCACGACTTTCATTTAGATCGCTAATGCCAAATATCGCTCTAACGTAAATTCACTATTTACGTCGCGTTGTGTTGTGTCGGTTCTGTCGCGAAACTTCGACAGGTCATAACTTCTTTGTTATAACTCGGATTTCGACATTCTTTATATGTACTAAATCCTTGTAACATATACTACAAATTAGTTAAGATTACTCCTTTTAAACAATCTTCCATCAAAAAGTCATTTTTGACACTCATTGTCTCTAAATTAACTAGCTCTGATCTACGGGCGTTACATCGACCTACCCTACCAGGCATATCTGGGTGCCCGACCTACCCTCCAGTATATTTCAACCGATTACGGGGACTATTTTACCCCTACCACTACCACGTAATAGCATAACAATAAGTACATTAATCATAACATTCAATGAAAAATAAATGTGTAATGTGGCCGGTCTATGGGCTTGTATGTGGGTTTTCCATAGAAAGTGGAATTGTGTGTTTTGTTGGATCAATTGGGCCGGTCAAAAACTCAACTTTTGTAGTAATCCGCATGTGATTTTGCTCTTTGGTTTGTTACTAAAGCTGTTCTATATAGTGTCGCTGTTCAAACATAAAAAAAGACCTTGGGTCTTCAAGGAAAAATAAATAACTAATTAACAACACAAAGTTGAATAACAAGTTTGAACTTGATATTAAAATAACATAAACAAAATGGAAGCCATCTACGATTGGTTAAAATCATAGGATTCCGAAAAGGATAATTCTTTTTTAACACATTCAACCTTCTTGTGAAATACTCAACCTTTGACAGGTCACACAAACCAAAGTTCCAAATGACTACAAGGACGTCTCAAGTTGAATAATAATTTAAAATAAATTTGGATAAAAAATAATAATTTTCTATTAAAGGTTAAAATGTTATTTATATATATTTTTTATAAAATAAAATATTAAACATAACTCAAAAACATTTTAACTAAACTAGTTGCTAATCTAATGAAATAAATACTTTAACATTTACATGACTCGTTGATCAAATCACAGCGAGTCGCCGCTGCGTCCTTTGCTGCCTTACAATCTTTATCTCAAAACTGAGTATGAACACATTCTTAGTAAAAAAAAGATCTATTATATTTGCTATTTGACCGGTCAAAGCCACGAGATTTGTATTACTAGGTTTGTCTCATATCTATAATCTATATAAAGAGATATGGTACAGATACAAAAACTTCACAAACGAATGTAACATTAATGGCGTCCTTTCTAATCATTATATCATCAGTCCTTCCTCTATTCCTTATCTTCATTCTTTCTAAATTTAGAAACCCTAGATCAAAACTTCCACCAGCCCCACGTGGACTTCCCATAATCGGAAACTTGCACCAGCTCGACACCTCCAACCTCCCCGACCATCTATGGCAACTATCGAAACGCTACGGCCCACTCATGTCCCTGCGCCTGGGTTCTGTCCAAACGCTCGTTGTTTCTTCCGCACGAATGGCCAAAGAGGTCTTGAAAACAAACGATGCGATCTTTTGTAGTAGGCCTGTTCTTACAGGCCAAAAAAAGATCACCTATGGCTACAAAGGTTTGATTTTGACGCCTTACAATGATTACTGGAGAGAAATGAGAAAGATTTGCACTCTTCATCTTTTCACTTCGAGAAGGGTGCTTTCGTTTCGTGGTGATCGTGAAGAAGAAGTCATGCTCATGATCAACAAAATAAAATCCCAAATCGTCACTTCTTCTTCTTCTTCATCACAAGTAGTGGTGAATTTGAACGAGAGTGTGATGACTGTTACAAGTATGATCATTTGTAGAATGGCTTTCGGTAAGAGAGATGGACCAGAAATGAGTCGGTTTCATGGGCTTCTTTTGGAGTGTCAAGCGGTGTTGGTGCACTTCTATTTTAGGGATTATTTTCCATTGATGGGGTGGATTGATCATCTCAACGGGAGCATGGCTAGGCTTGAGAAGAATTTCAAAGATATGGATGCGTTCTACCAACAACTTGTGGATGAGCATTTAAATTCCGAGAATAGGCCCAAGAACATGCAACACGATATCATTGACATCTTGCTTCAGCTCAAGAACGACAACTCTTTTTCACTCGATCTCACTTTTGATCACATCAAAGCAATAGTCATGGTGGGTGTAATTAAAGTGGTACTTCACTTCTATATCTTTATCTTGTTACCATGCATCCATGAAACTCAGTTTCAGACGCTGTTTTGCAGGATATATTCTTGGCAGGTACGGAAACGAGTGCATCTGTAGTTGTATGGGCGATGACTTTACTCATTAAGAACCCGAAAGCTTTAAAAAGGGTTCAAGAAGAGGTCAGAAATGCAGTAGGCAACAAAGGAAAGATCGATGAAGATGACTTACCAAAACTCGACTACTTGAAAGCGGTAATAAAAGAGTCACTTAGATTATACCCGGCTACACCGCTCTTGGGTCCCGCGAGAAACAAGTGATATATGTGTTTTAAACGGATACGAGATTCCTAAGAAGACTCTGGTTTATGTGAATTCATGGGCCATTGGGCGAGATCCGGAATATTGGGAAAAACCAGAAGAGTTTGAGCCAGAGAGGTTTTTGGGTAGTAGCTATGATTACAAAGGGACGGAGTTTGAGTTTATTCCATTTGGTTCGGGTCGAAGAGGGTGCCCGGGAATGTCAATTGGAGCTACCACCATGGAATTGATCCTTTCGAATCTCCTTTACGCTTTTGACTGGAAATTACCCGATGGGATGAAGGGAGAGGATGTAGACACCATGACAACTCCTGGGCTTGTTCTCCACAAGAAAAATGTGCTTTATCTTGTTGCAGTTGATAACAAAATAGATCCAAATAATTAGGTTTCATAAGGAATAAATAGATTTGTTTCGAAAATATGGCTCCTTTAATTCTACAACATAGTGAAAAGATTTAATTTCTCAAGTGAAAAGGGATGTTCGTTGTTTTAACGGTTTATGTGTTTTAGGTCACTAATTACTTTCTTACATATATCTCCGTGTTACAAAAAAGAAAAGTGGTTTAGCATATGCTATAGTAGCAATGGCGGAGACAATGCATTAAAAAAAATAGAAAATTTTCAAGTGCATTGTCCCCACTGAAAAATCATGTGCACCGACTTATCTTCCATTTGAATGTTAAAAAGCTTAGCAATTTATTTATTTATTTATTTTAAGTTTCACCAATATTATCCCTTTTCTTTCATCTTCCCTATAAACATAGGGCGTGCTTGGTATAAAACTTTTGTAAACGTTTGAGAGCTTCTAGTTTTTAGTTTTTTACAAAATGTTCTAATTTAAATAAAAAACTTCGTTTGTTAGTACAAATGTTTAACTTTTAGTTTAAACAAAGGCTTCAAATCTAAGGGCGTGTTTGACACGGAGCTTTTGGAGGCGTTTGAAAGCTTTTAGCTTTTAGCTTTTGATAAAACGCTCTAGTTTAAACAAAAGTTTTGTTTAACAGTACGAACGTTTAGCTTTTAGTTTTAACAAAACGCTCCGATTCTAAAAGCTACTTCTTGTAGCGTTTAACAAAATACTACTGAGTTTTTGAAAGCAATTTCCATAATTACCTTTAGAAATATATTTATATATTTATTTATTTTTAATCAATTGTCTTTTTATGTAATTTTATATATTTCGAAAGCTTCCAACTACTTTTGTCAAACACTTATATAACAAATAAACGCTTGTAGCTAACAACTATTTTTACCAATCACACCCTATAATCTCTCATTTACCTTGCTTGTGCTGCCGGAATTTGGATGTAATTAGATCGGTCAATAGTCAACAGTTAATAAATCGATCAATGATCAATGATCAATGGTCAATGCCACTGTATAGTAGTAATGGTTCACTTTTTTAGGAATCGGTCTTAGAAGACATTCATTTTACTTACATTTATCAACCATATGTACTATGCACAGTAAAAGTATAGGTGATTTTTCAACATGCTTATTATATGCGCTATACATCCAAAAAGAGTCAAAATTTTAAAGCACCTTTAATTCTTATGTTTCTATCAGTGCATAAGTTTTACTAGTTTTTAGTAAGAAATTTTTATAATTATTTTAGCCAATTCATTTTATTTTGTTATTTTAATTAGGTGTAAGATTCGTATATTACACGGGTTGATTAATAAAATATTAAATATCAAAATATTAGAAAAATAAAAAAAAATGGTTATGAGGGTTTAAGAGGTAGTTTTATACTCTTTCTAGTAATATTGGATGAAATTCATATAGAACATAAATAATCTCCAACACAAGTTTATTTTGATTCATTCACATTGTGTTTTGGAAAAGAGATATGTTTAGAGGAAATTACTTCACAAAATATTCATTGTAATATTAACATTTCAACAATATATATTACGTCCGTATAAGAAGTATTGACCATTTTGGTGACTAGTCACTTTTGCACCTATCTTTGTAAAAAAAAAACATTTAGACTAATAGGAAACAAAATATTATTATGTTACTTTTTAACCTTTATTTTAATAGTTAATGTTTTGATACAATGGCTTGAAGTCCATTGAATAATTCAAATCACATTTCCTTGTAGGAAAAGTAAGTAGTATGTGATGTGAAATTGAAATAATATGCTTGACTAATTATATGGTAAGTTGAAATATCATATAAGAAATATTGTATTATTTTGGAAAGGATATAAGATTAGTGTGAATTTGAGATTGGTAGAATAAATTTTGATGACATATTAGGAAAATAAGGGAAATATAGCATATATATATTCTTCATTTTTGGAAATATAGCATATTAATCAAATAAATACATTAATTAATCATTTATTACAAAAACACCACAAATTGACATGTGGAATTAATTTTATTCAAAAAACCCCACAAAATTACATGTGGCAAATGAATGGAAAACATGACATGTGACAAAAATCATTTTCATTTATTAGGTTAGATTTTTAGAGTTAATTACACGGTCTATGTATTAGGTTTTTTATGGATTAAAGTTCAATCTAATTTTTTTCTTCAGAAAAGTACTTTTATATATATATATATATTCAATTTGACTTTTATATATATATATATATATATATATATATATATATATATATATATATATATATATATATATATATATATATATATATATATATTCAATTTGACTTTTATATTTTATATTTTTTCGATTTAACTCTTATATTTTTCATTTTTTCCGATTTAACCCATATATTTTTCTATTTTTTAGGATTAAATATCTAACCATTTTTTCCTTAAAAAACTGCTACATCTTTATTATCTTGGAAGATTTTTTTTTTTGCATTCGTTTTCATAACTCCATGAGAGATGCTCTCATTTTCATGATATTTTTGGAGTAAATCTAGAGAGTTGGTGTCGTAAATTCATTGTTTGACGATAACATTAATTCTCTTCTACGTGGTTCCATCGAAGGAGATATCGTTTCATCAATGTGGTAATAAAAGAGGCACTTAGATTATACCCTGTTGCACCTTTGTTGATCCCACGAGAAACAATCGATGTATATTTTTTAAACGTTTACAAGTTTCAGAAGACTTGTTTATGTGAATGGACTATTGGGCAAGACTTTATGTTGTGAGAAATGATAAGAGTTTAAGCCATATAGGTTTTTGGGTAGTAGCTATGGTTTGGGTCGAAGAGAGTCTCCAGAAATAGAAGTCAGAGCTACCACTATGGAATTGACCCTTTTGAATCTCCTTTAGATTTTTAATTGGAAATTATCGGTTAAAAATGTGCTTTACATTTTTGATTGGAAATTACCAGGTGGGATGAAGGTAGAGGATGTCACACCATGACAACTCATGACCTCGTTCTCCACAAGAAAAATACGCTTTGTCTTGTTGCAGTTGATAAAAAAATAGATTTGAATAATTAGGTTTCATAACCATATTCGTTGTTTTGACTGTTTTGACGAGGTTTATGTGTTTTAGGTCACTAATTGTTTTTGTACATGTATCTCTATTTTACTTTTAATCTTCATATTCTAGTCTACTATAATAACCGAAGGTTTTTTTGCCACATGTTATCTTCTCATTCATTTGGACACATGATATTTTCTAGAATTTTTAAATTTTCTACTTTCCACTTGTCATTTTATTGTAATTTTCATTTTTTTTTAAATTAAAATTCCACATTTAATGTGTAAGGTAATATATATGTAAGTATTTATTAGAAAAAGTTTATATATGTAATGTATTCAATACATTAAAGTCTCATTAATTTTAATAATTCAAATTTTTCTCATTTTTCATATAAATTCAAACTTTTCAAATTGTTAAAATTTTATAATTATTTTTTTTAATTAAACCCATGTAATACATGAGTCTCACCTAGTAAATGAATATGTTTATTCTCTTAATGACAAGTGTCATGATATTAGAACTCTTAATTAATATTTAATATTATATGTCAGATATCATATCACTTATCAACCTATTAATTATGCATTTCAAATTTCAAATTTAAATTTTTCCACTTTAATTTCATTAAATTAATAATTGATTCTTCATTTTAAATTTCAAAATTTAAAATTTTCACTTTAATTATATTAAATTAACATTAGATTAAAAATAAATAAAATTAATATAGATGATTAGGTGATATAACTTCACCTATTTATTTAAATCAACGGTTATAATTTTATATAAATAAAAAATATCTTTTAAGCAAAATGGTATGGCATAATTATATAGGAGGCTTTACAAAACATTCACTTTACTAATATTTATCACCATGTTTAGTACGACGAATAGTAAAATTAATAATATTATTTTATTAAATTTATCAATGTGTTTTTTTTATCCAAATATTATTTATTAGATGAAAATGATCAAATTTATAATCCCTATTCATCCAGCAACATCATTTTGAATCCATTCCATTTGAATTAGTATTTTCTCCATTACAATTATTATGAAGAAGCATCTTTAATCAGTTAGTCTTGGACAATTTCTTTGTGAAAATGTATCTATAGTAAAAAAAAAAAAAAAAAGACCGCATTTAAAATGGGGTCATATTTTAATTGTTTAAGTTGACTATGGTGCCTTTTCAACATTTCAACATATTTATTGCATGTTCTATACATTCAAAAGAGTCCAAACTTTTAAACAACCTATAACTCTTTGTTTCTATCATTACATAAGTTTTATTAGTTTTTAAAATTAAAATTTTTGTAATTATTTTAGCCTACGTCATTTTGATATCTTGTCGTATTTTTTTTAGGGTTAATAACATGAAATGACTTAGCGCATTGGTGTTGCGGTATGAAAAATTTTCAACAAACCATGGAATTTGTGAAGGTCCGCTTCCCAAAAAGCTTTTTTTTCATACTATTTCTTTGAACGCTATTTTGTGATGTCCCACAACATACTTCCGCTACCACAAATTCTCATTTGTTGTCTACCATGTGGCCTGTCTTGATTGACTTTGGTTTTCCCTTTCGCTTTTGTTTTCCCATTATTTTTCCTACTGCCTTTGGCTTGAGTTCTAGTAACAAATTATCCCGATGGTTGTGTGGGTGGTGGTTGTTGGGCGGTAGTTGGTTGAAAGGTTATCACTGTTTGGAAATTTGGTATAAGGTTTTGTTGGAAATTTGGTCGTTTCCTATAAACATTTTGTTGGAAGTATGATGATGAAGGAAATTATATGAGAAGTGAGGTGGAAATGAAATAAGTTTGTTGGTATGGTATTTGCGATAAAATGTAGGTGTTTAATAGGTTAATATAACTCTCAAATTGAGCGAATCTCATAAAAGAGGTTGTGTTCGAATGTGAGTTTGGGTTTAGTGGATGAGTGTTTGGGTTTTGATCCATTTTTTTTATTTTTGAGGTCG